AGGAGGAGGAGGAGGAGGAGGAGGAGGGAGGAGGCGGAGGAGGAGAAACCCTCTACCCCCCCTTCGGGCGTCGCCGAATCGGGGGAGCGGGCGCGCGCCTCGACCACGAAGCTGGCGTCGTCGGCGCCCTGCCGCTCGCCGATCCACAGACACATGAAGACGCCGTCGAGGGGTGTGCCCCTCGCTGTGCGGGGGGCGCTCGCGGGGGGAGTTCGGGAAAGAATTCCAGGCATGTCTTCGTCAAAACAACCACGGGCTGTTGCGCCCGATTGAAGGGCCATCGAGCCAGATTTGGCCGGATTCAGCCCGCGAGTGAGCTGGGATTCGGCTGGATCGGGCGGGATTCAGCCAGATTGAGCGGGATTGACGAGATTAGGCCAATTTTCGACCAGGAGGAATCTACCAGCTTCGGGATGCTCTCCGACGGCTGCGCCATGCCGTGGGCATTCCGGGGAAGTCCAGAACGTCACGAACGGCCGCGGGAGACTCGAATTGTGACCTGAAGCCGAAACCTCCTCTCGGTGGTGCTGCACTTGTTTTTCACTGGGCGTTCTCGACGGGCTTCGGGCCCAGGGCCATCACAAGTCGATCCGGCTCGCAAAGTGGGGTTCAAAGCTCTGGTGCTGCGATGTTGCACTTTTTCCGCAACGTCGCATCTCAAGGTCATGGGGGGAAGCATCCCGCCGGCCCCAGGCGCAGGCCGGCGCTGGGAGGCAACAGCTCTGGGCGTGTCTCGGGAGTGAAGGAGTGGTGGTCGTCGTCAGAGCGATTCCTGCCCAAACTGGGCCAGGGCAAATTGGCTCTCTCCAACGGGCCCCATTTTTGAGGTGGAGTGGCACCGCGAAGCTCGAAAGAGAAGGCACCAATCTCCGCCTAGAGTTGGTACGCTGGGAAAGCTGACTTACGCTGGCCCAGTGGAGGCAGGGATCGTGCTGGCGAAGATGAGGTGGGACACCCCAGCAAGGCATGAGAGGCCGCCCAAAACGACCCACGGGTCCCCAACATGGCCCGAGTAATCTGCCAAGAAACTCCTGTATCGAAAGATCCGCGAGGGCATCTAGGGTTGACTGCTGGGCCTGTTCAGGCAAATCCCTATCTTCTATTTGACGGCAAACCCCCCTCGTTGTTCAACTGCGTGCTCACATACTTCACTGATCAATGCAACTCGCCCGGGCATCGCTGCTGGATAGGCTGGTGGGATACGAGAAACGTCAATTATTCATTCGTCGGGTAGATCGATGGATAGATCGCGGAATAGGATGCCGCACAGACGCATACACAACTGTGTGCAAACAAGTGTAGGTACAACGTGCTCATGAAGATAAGCTGTTATACCGTTCGTGCGAACAAATGGTTGTAAGCGCAATCAGCGCGACAACCATGAAGAACACATCAAGCATTTTCAAGTATGGAATGCGTGTAGTCGTACACAAGCATAAACACATTTATATCGGCACTTCTGGATACTACGTCACATGATTGTATTTGTCGTTCGCGGGGCAATCGGGAAATCAACATACATGTGTACGTATACGTGTATGTGTATGCAAATACGGTGTGGCATCTGCACCCACACATATGTGTACGCATACTTGTACTTATGCAAACACACATATGTGCATATGTTTACTCAATAAAATTGTGTGCTTGGTAGATACTTAAACGTCGTTGGGAAACTCATTGAATGTATATATCGATATTTGTATCGTAATCGGCGTTACCCCAAGCAGTAAATCATTGCACAGAAGATGTGTGCGCTATGTGGTGCAAGCTATGTGGTGTAAGCTATGTGGTGCAGTATACGTGGTGCGAGCTAGAGACGGCAACAAAGCGGCCTACGGCGGCAACGTGGCGAAACCTCGCGGGACCCATCCAGCGCAAGATGCGGCCACGAGGCGGTCACCAGCAGCAACGTGGCGAAACCTCGCCGGACAAACCCAGGGCAAGAGGCGGCCACGAGGCGGTCACGGGCGGCAGCGTGGCGAAACCTCGCCGGACCCACCCAGCGCAAGAGGCGGCCACGAGGCGGCCACTGGCGGCAATGTGGCGAAACCTCGCCGGGCCCCATCCAGGTCACGAGGCGGCCACGAGGCGGCCACCGGCGGGCGGCAACGTGGCAAAACCTCGCCCGACCTACCCAGCGCACGAGGCGGCCACGAGGCGGCCACGGGCGGCTACGTGGCGAAACCTCGCCGGACAAACCCAGCGCAAGAGGCGGCCACGGGCGGCAGCGTGGCGAAACCTCGCGGGACCCATCCAGTTCACGAGGCGGCCACTGGCGGCAACGTGGCGAAACCTCGCCGGGCCTACCCAACGCACGAGGCGGCCACCAACGGCCACTGGCGGCAACGTGGAGAAATCTCGCCGGACAAACCCAACGAACGAGGCGGCCACGAGGCGGCAACGTGGCGAAACCTCGCAGGACAAACCCAGCGCAAAAGGCGGCCACGAGGCGGCCACGGGCGGCAACGTGGCGAAACCTCGCGGGACCCATCCGGTTCACGAGGCGGCCACGAGGCGGCAACGTGGCGAAACCTCGCCAGGCCCACCCAGCGCACGAGGCGGCCACGAGGCGGCCACTGGCGGCAACGTGGCGAAACCTCGCGGGACAAACCCAGCGCACGAGGGAGGCGGCCACCGGCGGCAACGTGGCGAAACCTCGCCGGACAAACCCTGCGCAAGAGGCGGCCACGAGGCGGCCACGAGGCGGCAACGTGGCGAAACCTCGCTGGGCAAATCCAGCGCAAGAGGCGGCCAGGAAAATCCTCGCCAGACCCATCCAATTCCTTGACATAAGTGAGAAGCCCATGGAGGCACTGCTTGGGGAACCTGTAGATCGCAGATTGGAAGTGAGGCCGAAGTGAGACAAAGTGCCGCTCAGTGTAAAATAGGCGTCGGTTTCGACTCGGTTCGTGTGAAAGATCGTCGAGCATGCACTTAGTGATCAGATTGCTCGATAAACCGGTCAGACACAAGGCTCGTTCGTTAGACCTGAAATTGTTTCGGGGTTGTCCTGTGTAAACCCTGCGCCGTAATTCGACCGTTAGTTTAATAGTAGGAGAGATAAGTCGTGGAACATGTGGTCACGTATGCATGCGTATGCATGTTCATGAAGAGAGTTGGCTATACCGTTCGTGCGTATATATATATATATATGTATATATATATATATGTATACACTTGGCTGTATACCTAATTAGCTCGACAGATATACCGAACAAATTAAGCATATGGCTAACTTGCCGTGTGCGTGTGTGCATCCGCCACCGTGCCCCGAGGCACGAGTTGGACTGTCCTCAAGCCACGGTGGCGGGCGGGCTGTCCTGCGACGGTCCCGCGCGCTTGCCCCCCTGTGGTTGTCCGTCGCGTGCGATTGTCCCATGGTTGTCCCATACTCGCTTTGTGGGGTGTCTCGTGCGGTTGCCCCGCGGTTGCCCAGTACTTGCCAATTTGACGGATCGATAGGTCAGTGGCTCGTTGCATAATTGTGTCGGTCTTTGAACAGGGAAGACGTATCAAAGTAATACCACCAGCCATTTACGGCGTAGGTGGTTTAGAGCGCTTCCTCCTCCAACTCCCTTCTTCCCCTTCGGGGATGGGTTTACCCCTCCCCCTCCTCCTACCCCTGGGTCTGGACGGGGGAGGGGCCGCGAGCGGTCAGAGCGTCCGACATGGCCGAATACAACTTCAAGGAGGCTCTAGATAGCTCGAGATGGCCACCAATCAAAATACCCCAAGCTGGCTCATACTAGTTTCTAAGATGGCTCCGCCAAAACACCTCCAAGACGGCTGCGAGTGGCCACGGGGCTCCTTAAGGAGGCCCCCAAGAGGTCCAAATCCCTTCAACACCTATAGGAAGGCAGGGATTTGTGCCTTCTCTCCTTTTCGCTTCCGATGGGTTTTTATGCGTCAAGTCGGCTCCAAGATGACCCCTAACGATGCCCAGTAGCCCCGAGATGGCCCCAAGAGGGCTCCAAGAGGCGACTTTTGGGGCTCAAGAAGGCAAGCGTAATTGAGGACCCCCTCTTCGTTGGTCGATGTCCTCCAGGATGGCCCCCAAGAGCCCCCGCGGACCCCAAGAGGGCCCCAAGAAGGCACCAAGAGGGCCCCAGCAGGGCCCCACCGGCTTCCAGAAGGGACCCTACAAGGTCCTGAGATGGTCCACGGAAGCTGCCAATAGTTTCCCATACAAAAAAAATCCATCGAATGGAATGTATGTTTGACTCCTGAGACTGCTCAAGCAGACTCCTGTCTTCGATTTGCTGGCTGCCCTGGGGCTTTTTGTTCCGCTGTGTACTTCCGCACTTCCCTGATCTATGCAACTCGCCTGGGCATCGTTGCTAGATGGGCTGGTGAGGTTACGCGAAGCGTGAAGAGTTCCAGCGTTAGTCATACCCTTGGTGAAATTGTTAGTTGGGTCATTTGCAAGATCGCTAACTCAACAAATGCTGGTCAAGTCGTTCAATCAGCCGGACTATAGTTAACTCGTTGTTACAATTATTAGAGCAGTGGCTACGTCGGCATGTGTTGAGTCTGTTGGATGAACAAGCTGTTACTTACATCGTCGGGAAGGTCGCTACATGGCTGGGATGTTAGTTGGATCGTCACGTGTAGCCGTAGCTTGAGCGTCAGTAATTCTACGGTGGATGAAGTAATCACATGCTACGCAGCCAAGTACCACGTGCCTACTTTAATTTCTAGCTGATTCTGTGTGCTTCAATTCGTTTTCATTGAACCTTTACTTTGCACATTGGCATGCAGACGGACACGCAATCAAGATTGCATGTAGAAGTAGATTTCTCTTGGCGCCCAAATGGCGCAACAATATGTACTCAAATGTATTGACACGAGAAATCCCTTCAATCTGATGTTCGGTTATTTTGCAAGGTACAAAGGATCATCTGACACCTTGCATCCCCCTGGCCCTGACCTCCCCTGAAGCGTCCCAGAAATTTCGCCCCCCCCCGACCTCACAGAGTCCAGCACTCTTCGCCAGGCCTTCGCGTCCTTCTTCGAATGCTGCACTGACACGTCGTAGAGCCAGAACAAGGGTAAGCCCCGCGCTGGGTCGCGCCACACTCCCGGGTGTGGGCCATACTCCTGGTGGATGTACCGCAAATCCTCCAGGAAGGTATCTGGAGTGCGCCCGCCGTACGGTTCGATATGGAAACTGATGCCGACGCCCGCCGCCTGCGCTGCCTCCAAAACCTTCGGAATGAGCACATCCGTGTTGGCGCCCGAGTCTGCGTCGTCGCGCTTGCCATCGAAATCCTTCTTGCCCCACCAGCTGCACATCGCAGAGTCAACTCCGGCGCTTGCAAGCTCACGGAACTGCGCGTGCAATGTGGCGCTGTCGCTGCAACTGTAAGGGCCGCGCTCCGGCATGAAGGGGGAATGCGGCTCTTCGGGAGGCCGCCAGTCGAACTTCTCGTGCTGTGCGTCCACGCGCTTGTCCCAGTGCGGCAACACCTTGTGGTTCCAGTGTATCCAGCGGCCGTCCACCTCTGGATTTCCGTACCTTGGCGGTGAGCGGACAAGCTGTGAGAACGTGTGGCCAGCTCTGGAAACCCTGAGCCCCCAAACGTTGTCATTTCTTGGAGGATGCTTTTTGCTTCCGCTGGCAGAGCCCCCGTTTTACTTTCGCCGCTTTCCGCCGACCTCCGCCGAGGAAGGGACGTCAACTCCTGCGATCCTCGAAGGCGAGGCCCTATCTGGAACGTCTCATGTTCTCGCGTCGCGAGTACATGTGAGGTTCCAGAAAATGCGATGAGAAAACACGTAAATGATTTCGACGATGAGACAGCACGTCAACACGGATGAATGGTGTATCATCAACACCGGGACCTCTTCATGCTCTCATTATGCGGGACATCAGCGTCGAGGCTGGGAACGTAAGCTATGAGAAAGACAGCTGCAAGGCTGTTGCTCGCACACATCCAGTTTGATTATCGGGACTGGCTAGACAAAGGGACCCTCCCTCTCTCTCTTCCTCTCCCCCTTCCTCTCCCTCTTACCTTCCGTCTCCCTCTCCCTCTACCTCTCCCTTTGCTCTCTCTTTTTTTGTTGTTTTTCCCCACATCCTAAGTGGGGTTCTTGTTCCCCACATCCTAAGTGGGGTTCTTGTTTTCTCTGCACACCCTCCGCGCAGGATCTCTCGTCCTCCTCCCTCTCCTCTGCTCCTCTTTGCTTCCTCCTCCGCATCATCATCACCATCACCACCACTACCCACTCATCATCATCATCACCATCAGCATCACCATCACCATCACACGATCACTCACCATCATCGGCTTCGAACGATCATCATCATCATCATCATCATCACTACTCGCTGACTCACCGCTTCGTCCCCATCATCATCACCACCATTTACCATCATAATCGCACGATCACTCACCATCAGCACTCATCATCACCACCATCATCATCATCATCATCACGTCGTCATCATCACCACCACCACCATCATCATCATCATCATCATCATCATCATCATCATCATCATCATCATCATCATCATCATCATCATCATCATCATCATCATCATCATCATCATCATCATCATCATCATCATCATCATCAATCATATATCATCATCAAACACCGTCGTCATCATCCCATCACCATCATCCACCAAGAGGGAACCTCGTCTGTGAGTGAATTGTGAGGAAGTCTCAGGCGGGAGCCCCCTCCCTATGGGGCCCGCAGATCATGTTACTAATCCGAGCGGGTCATCGGATCCCTGTAGCTGTCGTCACTTTTGGGCTCCTCAGGTCTGAATTTGGAGGAAGTATCAAGCGGGAGCCTCGTCTGTGAGTGAATTGCCAGGAAGTCTCAGGCGGGAGCCCCCTCCCTATGGGGCCCGCAGATCATGTTACTAATCCGAGCGGGTCATCGGATTCCTGTAACTGTCGTCACTTTTGGGCTCCTCAGGTCTGAATTTGGAGGAAGTATCAAGCGGGAGCCTCGTCTGTGAGTGAATTGTGAGGAAGTCTCAGGCGGGAGCCCCCTCCCTATGGGGCCGCAGATCATGTTACTAATCCGAGCGGGTCATCGGATTCCTGTAACTGTCGTCACTTTTGGGCTCCTCAGGTCTGAATTTGGAAGAAGTGTCAAGCGGGACCCTCGTCTGTGAGTGAATTGTGAGGACGCGTCAGGCGGGA